AAATTATCATTTGAAAGTGAGACTCATTCTGGAAAACCCAAGAAGACACAATGAAAATATCAAGAGCAATGGAAGAATTTGGTAGGTACCCAGGGAAAATTGATATATTAACAGCTAGCAGCTTTACCCTAGAGGAAGAATCTGAAAATTATGGCTGGTAGGGCCGATCTAGCCCACCGCCTGCTTCTGCAAATGTTGTTTTACTGGAGCACAGCTATGCTCACTCATTTATGTATTGTCTGTGGCTGAGGGTTTTTTGTTTGTTTCTTTAAATATTTTATTTTTATTTGTTTTTATTTTATTTTATTTTTTTTTTTTTGAGACAAGGTCTCATTATCTAGGCCCAGCTGGCCTGGAATTCTAGGTAGACTGCACTGACCTCAAACTCACAAAGAACCACCTGCCTCTGCCTCCTGAGTGCTGGGATTAAAGGCATGTGTCTCTACACAGGCCTTTCTTTTTATTTTTAATTATGTGTATATTTGTGTATCTGTGTATGGGTATGTATACATACATGAGTGTAGTACCCTCAGAGTCCAGGTGAGGGCTTCAGATCCTCTGGAGTTACAGGCAGTTGTGAACAGCCCAACCTGGGTGCTGAGAACCCAACTCAGGTGCTCCAGAAGAACAGAAATCATTCTTAACTACTGATCCGTCTCTCTCCAGCCCCATCTGCAGCAGTTTTTATACTGGAACGAAAGGCTGAGTAGTTGTTATAGAAACTATAGTTCATTAAAACTAAATGGTTTACTCACACAGGAAAAGTGTGTCAATCCTTGGTACAGCCAAGGACAAATTAGAAAATACAATAAGCCAGGTGGTGGTGGCACACACCTTTAATCCCAGCACTCAGGCGGATCTTTGTGAGTTCAAGGCCAGCCTGGTCTACAGAGCGAGATCCAGGAAAGGCACAAAGCTACACAGAGAAACCCTGTCTCGAAAAAAAAAAAAAGAAAGAAAAAAGAAAAAAAAAGAAAATACAATAGAAAAACCAATTATAATAAACAAATATAAATTACTTAGAAATAAATATATATTATTATATGTAATATAGAACTTACAAGGAAAACTTCACCACTATACAGATAGACATAAAACAGACAAGTGAATAAATGAAATAACTTATTCCTTTGTTATTTCGACACAGGAACTCATGCAGTCCAGGCTATCCTCAAAGCTATATATAGCTGAAGAAGACTTTCAATTCTTGTTTCTGTGTGTGTGTGTCTTTAGGCACATGTGTGAAGGTCACAGGACAATCTTTGGGGGTTGATTCTCTTTCTACCACTGGGTCCTGGGAATTGAACTCAGTTTGGTCAGGCTTGGTGGCAAAGGTACTGAACTGCCCCAACCTTCAACTCTTGATCCTCCTGCCTCTGCCTCTCTCAGTGCTGCTGTTACCAGCTCACACCACCACATCCTGCCGATTTTATTTTGATCAAAAACTAAAGTGAGACTTTCTTTAAGTTAACCAGCCAGCTCTGAGCCTTCTCTCTAGGTCCTATGATAGAATGGCTCAACAAATCTTCACAGAGACCAGACTGAGGTGATACTATAATTAGTAAAGATGCAGCGACACTGTCACTAGAAAGAGAAGGATGTTTAATTTTGTGATCTGGACAGTGCCCATATTTTGCCAGTGATCAGGCATGACTGTGGAGTGGTTTCATTTGTGTTTTGCCCTTGAAAAACCAGAACGTAGCTTTATCCAGTGTTGGTATTTGGTGAACATATGTTCAACTGAACAACAGTATCACTGAAAAAAGAACTAAAAATGTAATAAAGCAAATCCATCACAATTTGAATGAGAACAGCCAAGAAAATGGAAAATACTAGGAACAACAAGCGTTATTCTTCAGGTATCTAGGTAAGCAACTGAAATTTAAAAATCAATATCTGTACAGAATATTTGGCTGTCTAACAATGCTTTTTCCATTCTATAAATTAATAAACTATATACTTATATAATAAACTATATAATACATCTATGATTTAATGAAATTTGACCAACATTTACATTTTCCCCCCTCCCCTCATTTATAGTTCTATATTTATTTGATTTATGGAAAAACTTGACATCATGTATCAATATTGGGTATCTGAACCAATAAACATTAGAAAGAGCTGAACAGCCAAGTGGTTATGGCGCCCACCTTAAATTCCAGCCTGGTCTACAGAGCAAGTTCCAGGACAGCCAGGGCTACACAGAGAAACCCTGTATCTGAAAAACAAATACAAACAAACAAAAAATAGCTGAACAGAAAACCAAGAGGTGTTTCAAAAAACTGACATGAGAAAATGTTGAAAATCCGACTACAGGGGCCTGACAAGGTAGTCCACGAGGTAAAGATGCTTGTGCCCATCTTAATTTGATTTTGAGAACCCAGGGCCTACATGGTGGAGAGAGAAACAAGCCCAACAATTAGTCCTCCGGTCTCCACAGTGCTCCATGGCACACTCCTCCCCCAAATAAGTGATTTAAAATTCAAAAGGAAATGTGACTTATAGGCAGAGTTTCTCTGTGTCCTGGCAGCTGCTTCCAAATAAATGACACCGAGACTTATTAATTATGAAACCTCAGTTAATAGCTTATACTTGTTGCTAGTTAACTCTCACATTTTAACCCACATTTCTTATCAACCCTCTGCCACATGATGATACCTTTTTTTTTTTTTTTTTTGGTTTTTCGAGACAGAGTTTCTCTGCGTAGTTTTGGTGCCTTTCCTGGAACTCACTCTAGCCCAGGCTGGCCTCAAACTCACAGAGATCTGTCTGGCTCTGCCTCCCCAGTGCTGGGATTAAAGGCGTGTGCCACCACCGCCCGGCCGATGATACCTTCTTTCAACATGGCACATTCATCTCGATTCTCTCTGAGTCTGGTTGTAACTCCTGAGTTCTGCCCTCCTCAGCATTCTCTCTGCCCCAAATACCCTGCCTAGCCATCGGCCAATCATCTTTTTATTAACCAATGAGAGTAATACATATTTACAGTGTACAAAATTGTAGGTGGAGTTTTTTTGTCAGGACCACAGGTCAGCTCTGTCCCACCAGCTGCTCCCAAATAACTGACAAATAACACATGGCTTATAGCTTGTTACAACCTCATTTTCTACACTTCCTGCTCCCTCTTGTCTTGTGAGACTCCTCAGACTCTGCCCTTCTTCCCAGTGTTCTCCTGGCTCTCCCGTCCAATCTCTTCCTGCCCAGCTATAGGCCAGTCAGTTCTCTGTTAACCAATGAGAGGAATACGTATTTACAGTGCACAAAGATCGTTCCACAGCCGTGACTGAAGGAATTCTAGCCAACTTGAGCAGGACAGACATGGCTCTGGCAGGCCTTGCCTTTCCCCACTCCCTCTTCTTTGCTAAAAACTGTTAGATTACATTCCTAAAGCTCGCCACCAAGGCCTATGCCCTTATGTGGCCACTTCCTCCTCTTGAGGCTGACTACCAAAGTCCAGCAATCAAAGTATTGAAGTCCAGCAATCAAAAGCCCCCTTTGGCTCAACTAATTAACATGCCAAATTAAATTTAAACACCTCATCCTAATACAGGGTTTACTCCGTACCTTTATAAACTGCCGATTGCCTGGGGGCCACATCTGTCTCATCTCTATTCAGAGGCAGTCCTTTGTCCCCCTCCTGGACAAATGCCCCTCTTTCCTCTTTCTCTTCTTTGTCTCTTATTTCCTGCTTTCTGGCACTCTGAGGAAAGTAAATCTCCTTTATGCCGAGAACTTGGTCTCGGGGTCCTGAGCCAATACCAATCTCTTACAGTGACTATCAAAATTGTCTTTGTTGGGCAGTAGTAGCATGTGCCTTTAATCTCAGAACTTGGGGGTCAAAGACAGGCAGATCTCTGGGCTCAAGGCCAGTTATTCTGCCTAGTGAGTTCCAGAACAGCCAGGAATATGCATAGGAACCCTGTTTCCAAAAAAAAAAAAATTTTCTTTACACCAAGAATTACCATGCACATACAAAGCTCTGCAACACAAATAACACAGAGAAAAACGCGTTTGAGAAATGGATTCATGTCCCTTATTTTAAAAAACCAATAACCTGGACTGGGGTCTGAAAGTCTTTTCCAGTGCAAGAGTATCTATTGGAGAGAACCCCAGAGTGGCAGCTGCTTCTGAACGGGGAAGAGACAGCAGAGAGCTGGCAGGAGGGAGGGCTTTTATAGGGTTTTCGGAGCGCGCGCGGACACACACACACACACACACACACACACACACACACACACACACGCATACACACAGAGTGAGCTAGTGGAAAACTACAATGCAGCCAGAAGTATCGATTGGCTGCCAACTTTAAAACATTGTTTGGCCTGCGAGTCACCGGGGATTTTCAAGTCTTGGGGCTAGGAGAGAGGACGGGGGCAAGGTGTTCTTTCCTTGGTCCTGGTTCCAGGAATGGGGGTCAAGTCAGGGATAGAGTGTTCTTTTCGTGGTCCTTTTTTTCCTACAGAGTTGTGATTCTAGAGCATTTGCTTAGTATGTTCAAGGCCCTGAGTTCAGTCCTCATCACTATCAAAAATCAATAACTTGCCCGGGCAGTGGTGGCACATGCCTTTAGTCCCAGCACTCAGAACAGAGATGGGCGGATCTCTGTGAGTTTGAGGCCAGCTTGGTCTACAGAGTGAGTTCCAGGATAGACTCCAAAGCTACGCAGAGAAATCCTGTCTCGAAAAAATAAAAACGAACAAACAAATTAATAATTTATCAGACAACCTATATAAATAGGACTCTTCTAGGAATCCATTTCGTTTTTACAGCCAGCAAAACCCATAAAATGTTAGGGTTGGGCGTGGTGGCACAAGCCTGTAAACCCCAGCACCGGGAAGTGGAGGCCCGAGGATGAGATCACACACAGTTAAAGATTTAAAAAATTAAAAATGACGACTTGACCATAAGAAGGCGTGTCTTCGCAGAGGGCGGCCCCCGAGAAAGGACTACGATTCCCATAAGACTCCGCGCCGAGCGCGCTCGGCCTCCCGACAGGCCCCGCGCGCCTCACCCGCCAGCTTTTGCTTGAGCCCGGGAGCGTCCGGGATGGAGAGCCCAGAGGAGGCGGCGGGCGGTAAGCAGCGCGTCCACTTGCGCCCTGGCTCGCTGCATGACGCCGAGCCGGCTACGCTGCACCTCCTGCCCTGCGAGGTTCTGGTGAGCCGGCCCGCTCCGGTGGAACGCTTCTTCACGCCCGCGGTGCGCCGCGGTGCCGACGGTGAGGCCCGGCAGGCCCCGCGCAGGCTGCGGAGCTCACGGGCTTGGGGGTTCGCGGGAGAAGCCGCCGGCCCAGTCCCCGGGGCCCCGGCCTGCCTGACGGGCTTTGAATGTTCCTCCCGCAGGGCTGCAGGTGTCGTTTCGGGGTCGCAGCCTGCGGGGCGAGGAGGTAGCTGTGCCGCCCGGTTTTTCGGGATTCGTGATGGTGACGGAGGAGATGGGAGAGGGGCCGATAGAGAAGCTGAACTTCTCGGGGGACGCGGAAGACAAACCGGACGAGGCGCAGGAACCGCTGGAGCGCGACTTCGTGAGCAGAGGGAGGGGTAGGCACGGGGTGAGGGTGGCAGCTGCCGTCTCGATTCTGAACCCGGCCTCTCCTAGGACCGCTTTATCGGAGCCACCGGCAGCTTTAGCCACTTCACCCTGTGGGGTCTTGAAACGGTCCCGGGCCCGGATGCCAAAGTGCACAGGGCCCTGGGTTGGCCCAGCCTCGCTGCAGCGGTGAGTACACACACGAGCCCTTTCCCCGCTAGGCTCGGCCCGCCCTCCCACCCGGTTTGAATCGGCCCTAGTGATTTGGGGTTTTTAGGGTAGTGAGCACCATGGGAACGGTGGCTCTGGAGGATCAGCCTGAGGAGTGGTGGGAGGCACTCTCCACCTCTATCATCTGGCCTCCTAGAAGGGGGCTACCACCCTGAGCAGCTGGGTTCCCGCCTGTTTTGTACAGAAGTCACATAGTAGAAGTGACTCCTGTTGCAGATTCACGCACAGGTGCCCGAGGACTGAGAGCCAGAGCATGAAAATGAAAGCCACAGATTCCTTCACACCAGTAAGCCAGCAGTAAATTCACTTTGGAGCCACTGTTTCTAATCCCAATAAATGAGCTCTTCACAACACCTGTGCGTCTGTGGGCACCTTAGCGCCCTGAACCTGGCATGGCAAGAACTTGTGATACCTCTGCCTATATAAACAATTTATTGCTGGGGGCACGAGGGGCCAGAATTTTACAACCAGCACCCACCCCACCCTCCAGCTCCTTCTTTACAAAAGAAATGTTTACAATCACCAGTCTTCTGTACAGAATGCTCCCCCCGTCTCAATGTACACAGCTGCCTGGATCCCTCTGGTCCCTGTGTTCAGAGCAGACCTGGGCCGATAAGCCAGCCATCCTTGGAGTTGGCCTAGCCCTGAGCTTGCCTTGGTACTGGCCACTAGTTGGCCCCTCCTGGGCCTCTCCTTCTGGAGCTGTCCTCAGCCCTGTCTCCCTTGGTGTGCCTCTTGGAAGGATAGGGCAGCCTGCCAGCCCCGCTTCTGCCAGCTCTCCTGGTGCTGCGGTGGGCAGTGTCTGGTCACCACTTTCCTCTCTTGCTCCAGTCTTTGGGAGTGAAGTGCAGACACTTGGAGTCAATTCGAAGGAGCCGCTTGAGCATAGCCCGCTCATGCCCATCCACGATGTCCTCTGACAGAGTGAGGATATACTGGCCCTAGGCAAGAAAGAGACCCAGCATGTGGTCAGCGCACAGGCTCTGCCCCTGTACCCCACTCACCTCCCCCTTGGTGTACCTCCTGACCTTGTAGTAATTGATGAGATTGAGATACTGCAGCGTGGAGATGACATCTTCTTTCTTGATACTGGTGATTTCACTGATCTCACTGCAGGAGGGCAAAGGTTAGGACCCCTGAGGGTATTCCTCTGTCCCCAGGAGCCCCAGGAACAGACGGGTCATACCATGCACCCCCGCTGGGATTCGGGCTCACTTGATGGTGATCTGTGGCCTCTCCCCGCTCTCTGACTTCAGTCCCATCAGGATCTCCAAGATGGTTTGGGACCAGTAACTTCGATAGGATAGGAGGCCAAGATCTGACAGGGGCTTCTCAGGAGTCCCTGTCTTCCCTTCTACTTTAGAGAGTTCATAGCCTAAAGCAATGGAGCACAGGGGGCTGAGTAAGCATCACAGGTCCACACAGCAGTGAGGAAGAGCAGATGCTGGCAGAGCGAGCCTGTGGTACTCTTGGTAATGGATGAGAGATAGTAGGGGAGCTGGGAGCCCTAGAAACACAGCTACAACGGGGTACTTGCCAGCCACTGACAGCTAACGAGATGGAAGTGGTGGATTTTCCTTTGCCACCCCAGCCTGTGTCTGGGGGCACTGGCTGGTGGTAAGGAGCCTTATGATCTGAGGACACTTGGAGGACACTTTTCAGTGTCGTTCATTTCCCTAGCTGTGGTCCTGGCAGTGTCAGCTGCTCCCACCACCAGGGTGGCCTGGGTGGTTGAGGATGGAACAGAAAAGTAGAGTGGTGCCTCCTCAGAGCCAGTAACTGACCTCTGTAATGGCCCTTTCCCTCTGACTTGTGTTGACCACTAGGCACTGCCGGGCAGTTCATGATGAGACCTTTAGGTCCTGCAGAGCTGACAGCTCTCTTCCCTCGCCAGGGCCCTGGGGAATGTCCCTTACCTTCAGCTACACTGGCACTTTCTGCTCCTGGCTATCCCTGTTGGCTAGTCTTACCCTCTTTGCCCAATCTCCCCTGGACAAGATGGGCAGCCGGAGAGGCTGGTGTCTGGGGAGGAGGCCGGAAGGGGAAGAGAGCATAGGGTTCCTACTCAACGTTGGAGCAGGGTGTCCAGTCCCATGAACCCACTGGATGCCATACTTGCCTCTATAGTTCTGAGTTCCTGACCCTGTCCAGTGATTGCCTCCTGCCCTTTTATCTGCCTCATGGCACTACTGTGGTCTGTCCCCTGAGTTTCCTTTCGCCTGCTCTCCCAGGCTGAGTTTCCAGAGAATGTGATTCCCAACTTGGAACTACTCAACTAATAAAATATTCCAAACAGATCCTGACTTTGAACAAGTAGAGATCTGTTTCACCAGCAGAAAAGCTAAGGCTTCTTTCCTGAGTCCTAAATCAGAGAACAGTTAAGTGAATGGAATGGGGATGGATGGGTTAGCAGAATGTGACTGCAGAGTTAAGAGCCCACCTGTGATGAGAGGGGGCCAAAGCCCTCCCAGGCTTTAAAAGACTAGCCTGGCAAAGGAACAGGGTACAAGTTCATCTTTTAGTGGATTAAATAGCCTTTGGACATCTACTGCCTGCAAGGCTCAGGGCATGCCTGGTGGCATAACCAGGAACTTACTATGGTACACACCCAGAGATGAACATGAGGAGCTGAGCTGCTCCAGAAGGGAAAAGTTGGGGGATGCTTAAACCTTTAACCAAAGAGAAGTAGGTGCTGGGTACCCACTCCGGGAAATAGGGCAGTTACTTGAGGAAAGGACCTTGGGAGAGTGCCCCCTTTATTTCTGGCAGCTCTCCTGGTGACTGGCATGTCTGCATGTGAAGCACAGATGAAGGGAAGCCCCAGGCTCCTGGTCGGGCAGCACATACTCACTGAACTCAATAAGCAGCTTGCCATAGCCCCGGCGCTGATAGGGAGGCAGAGTCAGGATACAGGCCACATTGTAATCTTCTGTGGACTCTTTTTCCTGGAAGAACAGGTGGATTTTATCGAAGGCCTGGCTCGGGGCAGGGCCGAGGGACAGTCTGGGTGAGTGCTGACCTTGGAGAAGTAGCCCACAATGTGGAAGCCTTTGCAGTCATACTCTGTCATCACGTAGAAGAGGAAGGGGTCTGTGTCATAGTACAGTGTCTTGTGGTCGAGGAAGCACTTGGCCAGAAGACACAGGTTTTGTGAGTAACTCTGTAAAGAAAAGGGCCTGTCAGCACTCTGGGGGTACTATAAAGAGTTACATTTTACTGTGGCACATGTGACTGCAAGAGTACACGTACCACAACATGCATGTGGAAGTCAGGAGCCTCTTGGGAGTCCGTTCTCTCAGTCCACTAAGGGTTCTACAGAGTGGACTCAAGTGCTCAGTTGTGTGACAAGGACTTCTACCCACTGAGCCATTTCAAGGGCTCTGAGGATGTGCAACTGCAGTTGACTGGTGGTGAGCGTCCCTCCTAGGACCCTGACCCACCAGTCAGTCCATCACCACTGCTTAGGTAAGGACCACTTTTTTTTTATTCTGTGACAGGGTTTCTCTGTGTAGTCTTTATTGTCCTGGATCTCACTCTGTAGCCCAGGCTGGCCTCAAACTCACAGAGATCCGCCTGGCTCTGCCTCCTGAGTGCTGGGGTTAAAGGTGTGTGCCACCACCACCTGGCTAAGGGCCACGTAAGTGTCCAGGAGCATGTGTACAAGTATCTAGCTGCCTGCCCCCCTGGTGAGCTGCACAGTTTTCCATATACCCAGTAAAGCTGGCCCTGCCCTCTGTTCCATTAACAAGAGTCAACTTCCAAGCCAGGCATGATAGTGTATGCTGATAATCTCAGCACTTAGGAGGCTGAGGCAGGATGTAAGTTTGAAGTTAGTCAGCTAGGGCTACCTAGTGAGACCTTTTTGTTTGTTCTGTCTGTTTTTCGAGACAGGGTTACTCTGTAGCCTTGGCTGTTCTGGAACTCACTCTGTAGACCTGTCTGCCTCTGCCACCAGAGTGCTGGGAATAAAGGCGTGCACCATCATTGCTGTCCCCTACCCCCCCTTTTAAAAAAGGTTTTCCTGGGCTGGAGAGATGGCTCAGAAGTTAAGGGCACTGGCTGTTCTTCCAGAGGTCCTGAGTTCAATTCCCAGCAACCACATGGCTCCCAACCATCTGTAATGAGATCTGGCGCCCTCTTCTGGCCTGCAGGCAGAACGCTGTATACATAATAAAGAAATCTTAAAAAAAGGTTTTCCCATGAAGTTAGCCTCGCACTCAGTCTTAGGAGAGTTCTACCCATGTGGCTGTCCTTGGGTGTCAAATCCCTAATACTCTAGCCATAGTGATGCCTCTTGGGAACTGGTCTGCTATTCTCCAGTGGAGGTTTTTTTTTTTTCTTTCTCCTCCCTCCCTCCCTCTTTTTTTTTTTTTGTTGTTGTTGTTGTTGGAGCTGAGGACCGAACCCAGGGCCTTGCACTTGCTAGGCAAGCGCTCTACCACTGAGCTAAATCCCCAACCACCTCCAGTGGAGGTTTAAGAAAATGCCAGCCTTAGTGGTTCTTCCTGTAAAACTTGGCCTGGCTGCTTTACCCCACACATGGTTTCTAGAGGAATTTTAGATAGCTTTGTAACCACCTGCTGATCATTTCCTCAGACACCACACTTAACACAGAGCAGCTGGTGGCACACACCTTTTAATTCCAGCACTCAGGAGGCAGAGGCAGGCCTGAACTACATAGTGAGTTCCAGGACAGCCAGGGCTACATAGGGAAACCTTGTCTTAAAAAACCAAAGGGGAAAAAAAAAAAAAAAAGGGAACAGTGTGTGACTTTGTCTTTTTCTCGAGCTCCCCCCCCCCCCCACTAATCCTAGTACCTGCCTCTCTCCCTCAATTATCCTGGAGGCCCAAGAGAGGCGAGTATCTCAAGGGGCTCTAAACTTCTCACCTACAAGACCCAAACCTGCTCCTCCACGGATCTTGTTCCTGCCACCTGACCTCTGGCCTTCAAAAGTCTTGCCTCATCCCCGCCCCTTTCACACATACTGTCCTGCGTCAGTCTCGCATCTCTGAAACCAGCTGCTTAGAACTGCCTTAGACATGTTCTCTCCTTCATGTCCAGGTTCACAGGTCAACCTGGACACTTTCTCAAAAAAGGATTTGATTATATCCTTACCTGGCCCAGAACTCCTTACAGACCAGCAGAGATCCACCTGCCTCTGCTTCCTGAGTGCTGGGATCACAGCATGTGCCATCATACCCATCCACGATCCTTTTTGTTTCTGAATTTCAAATGCTCCGGCCTCAGCCTCCTGGGTGCTGTGATTACCATGCTGGGCTAAACTGTTCTTTAAACTGCTTCTAGTTTACATTTGACCTTTGCCCCCATAAGTTTTTATTTTTGTTGCTGTTT